GAGTCACATGGCTCGCCACGCGTATTGCGAATGACGCTAGAGACTACAGTTGTCCAGCTATGTAGTGGTTGAATGTACTATAACTTCAATAATTTTTTTCTCGGAAACTATAAGGATTTTACAAATTTTTTTTACGTTATTAACTCCATTTCTCATGCCGCATCTATTCCCAAATTTTTTTGGATAAGTTGTGATTTTTGGTAAATCGACTTCTTTTATGAGTTATACAAGCTGTTAAAATAAATGACCCAACTTTGAGAACACCCTGTATAGACAATTTGGATAAAAAGTACTCAAAACTTGCTTAAATCTTAGTACGAATAGAATTATATCTGAAAATATTAATGACACTATCTTGAAACTCTCATATAAAAATTGTCTTTGACACTCTCAATTGTTTTATTTTAAGCTTATTTTCAAATTCTTAATAAAACACCTTACGTGACCTAAGAAACGCAATATTCTAGCAACAGAAGCTGAAAAGTATACGCTCCGCAAATATTTGCTGGTTTATTCACCGACTTAATTCCAATCCCATTTCCGTGAAAGGTTATACGGAATTGGGTTTACGGAATCTTCGATAATTTCGTTCGTATCTTCGGTCGCTTTTTGCATTCGCCTTCCATTCTAAGCCTTTGCCCTTTCACAGATATCTCGTATAAAATGAAAAGACCTGCCACCTTTTTTTTTCTATTTTACGGGCGCGTAGTTTGAACAAACAAGAATACCTCAAAAGGCATAAAAGTGTACGCAATGTACACAGCACAATTAAACTCTCGCGCGAAACGTTTCCTGGAGTGCACTTCATATACGTACTCCTTTATACCTCAGCCTTTCCTGCTGCGCGTAGAGGAAACTGCTCGAACTTTGACTGTTTGAAATACATTGTACTTCGAATGTAGGAACGGCGCAAGGATTCGTCTGAAGAATTTGGTCTTTCAAGTATAAAATGTTCGTTTACTCTGTTTCATTGGAAATAGAAAAATTTATTTGAAACATAAAAAGACTACGTTTCTTATTATGCAAAAAAGAATCACTTTGTACAGTTTGGCCTGAAAATCATTCATTTTGACAAATTAAAAAAATAAACATGGAAGGTATTTTTGACTTTTCACAGTGAACTAAAAATTGCATCACTCTGTAGAAAGAGAAATTAATTTTAATAAATTAAAAAGGTTGTATAATTGCGGTTTTTGAAAGAGATTCGTTATCAAAATAGTTTGAGATTTTTTTTATTGTAAATACAAAATAATGTGTCAAAAATTCTAAAAATCTGCCCAAAAAAATGTCAAAATAATTTCTACGTCAATTGGTGTTTGAACTTGTGATACATTACGTTGTATTTCAAATTGCATGTCTAACAAAAAATTCCTCTATACAGGGTGTCTCACGGTGACGAGACATTAGACATATTTCAGACTACTTCGATTTTAATTTTCAGAATTTGGGCAACAATGTTTTCGGGCATACCCTCAACTAAAATAATGGCGTCCACCTAACGTTTCCAGTTATACCGGAAGTTGACGTCATCTTAATTATTTTTTTTAAATTGAAAACGCGCTGCCTAATTCAAAAAGATGTATATTTTACAATAATAAAGTTAGAGCCATAAAATTTATAGAGGACATAACTAGAACTCTAAGCTTCCCTGCCATAATTTCAAAACGACTTAATTTCATACAGGGTGGTAGAAATTTAATGCCGAATTTACTCAACTTTAAACCATCATAACTTTTTTTTTAATTGAACACCCTGTATATTTTTGCACAACCTGATGAACAATTTTGTTCTCTTTCGAATGGTATAATGGCTCCCTATACCTATCTCTTCTTGTTTTTCAGATATTTACTGTTTTTCGTGCAGTCAACGGATATCGCATAATTTTTTGCGAGGATGGCTGTGAAATTTTTAGTGGAACTTCAAAACAAGCACCTAATTTGTCATACAGTGAATGTTTATTTGAGTATTATTTATTGTTAAAGAATGGAGACAATCTAAAGAACAAAATTGTTTATCAGGTTGCGTAAAAATATACAGGGTGTTCAATTAAAAAAAGTAAGGCAAGATGGTTTAAAGCTGACTACATTCGGCATTAAATTTCTACCACTTTGTATGAATTTAAGTCATGTTGAAATTATGGCAGGGAAGCTTAAAGTTTTAGTTATGTGCCCTCTATATAAATTTTATCGCTCTAACTTTATTAGTCTCTGAGATATGTCTAATTTGTCGTCACCGGTTTTGTCGAACGAATAGTTATTTTCGATTTACTTCACAGTGTTTCAAACTCACTTCATATAAAAAATGGCTCGTTCTTCGAAAAAACCGTAAGACACCTCTTTCTTAGAAATTCAATATTTAATAACAAGCCCTAATCGAGTTTACAGAATACTCATTGGCGTCGGCGTTCTGAGGCACTTAGTGGTGCTGACCCCTCTTATCTCCGCCTCTGGTTGTCGTATTTATAAGTCAACTTAACGGGTTTTTACTTCTGCTTAAATAAATCAGCGTTTCATCAGTTTACATCAAACACCCTCGGAGGTATCTCAGAAAATACGATGTTTTTTTATAATTTCCTCACACATGAAACTTTTTGCTAAAAATAATTTGTTCTTACCCACTTGAAGGAGCACATTTACTTCAGAACACCCTGTATATATAAAATAAGAAACGGTCTCATTGATATTTTAGCACTTGCAGAAAATAAATCACTTCTAGCTGTTACTTTTATTAAATAAATGATAATCGTAATAAAATGTCGCACGAAACGTTCTCCTATGAAGAGCTACAAATGATCGGTACCGTATGACAGCACCACGTCAGTATTTTCGTGAAATTCGAAGCCTAAAGGCATAATAATAACAAATAGCACATTCAGAAACCACTCAGGAACTTTGAACTAACTTCAGGTCTACTTCAGAACTGTCAGAACTTGTCAAACCAACTTATTACCTAACATTACAGTCGCTGCAACTGATTCGGGAGAATTAATGGAAATATTAAGGTTTCTGTAATTTGGCAGTAGCAAATGTATAACAGAATGTATGTAAAGTCGTTAATATTTCGAAGATAATATATGTAGATTTCCATCGAAACTGAAACATTGTCACAACAGGCATATTAAGCTCATAAATCGTTTCAAATTAATCGACCATTCAAGAAATATAAAAATTTATAGACATATTTACAATCGTAAAACTCATTAAAATTCGTTATAATAATTCAGGAATGAAGTGTATAAAATGAAGTCAATAAATACCACAGTTAATTTTTTGTTACATCAGAATTGCTCGTGTAAGCTTCAAAAATAGTAGACCACAAGCCCATCGGAAATTTTCAAGGGGTCATTTGACCCAGCATGAATTACTTATAAAACAATACTACCACATATAATAATTACATTAGGTCAAGGTTAATCTTTTTTTGTATAACCTATATACTTTAGAAATGCCGTACAAAAATTTTTTGCCAAACCACCCCCCTGTACCTGTATACTCACCTGTACCAACAAGAATTTACGACATAGTCTCTAAAGTTATTGTTATATATGGTAGTATTGATTTATAAGTAATTCAGGCTGGGTCAAATGACCCCTTGAAAATTTAAGTTTGGCTTGTAGTCTATAGAAGATTTCATTACATTTCATTGGCAATTATCTCTTGTCTTATTTTGTTGCTGAGTTGGCAGTGCCAAGAACGGCCAATAGTCCGGTAGCAGCTTAGTGCTACAATGCACTGGGCTTAATATCAACGAAATATAATCGATTGCGTATTTGTATATAAGGTTGCAAGAAGTAACGTATTTTATCTAAAACCACGTGTCTAGAGTAGGGTGATTCAGTGATAATTTTGCATATTTACGCTGAAAAAAAAAACTTCAAATCATTATTTAAACCCCTTTTCGAGCAGTTGCTCTTCGTTTATCGAGAGTGAATCTTGACCTACCATAGTATTAGGTCATTAACCTAGCTTTTAATGCGTTTTTAATCTGTAACCTAGACACATAAATGAATAACATATTTTTTATATTTTAAATATTAACATGTACTATTTATTTGTTAATAAAAACAAATCTATAACAATAGTAATTGTTTTCGAACGTTAGGTTATTACAATTTAGTATTTTTAGTATTGTTAACGTTTTCACTATGTTTTACAATTGAATATGAGTTTTTAGTATTAAATTCAGTTAATTATGCAGTTTGTAGTACGTATACCTAGTGACTAAAAAAAAACACTTATCCATAGCACTTTGTTAATAAAGTTAGGATCCGCTGTACCTTGATTTTGAAACAAATACCAAAATTCAAGACGACTGGGAAAATCAGCTGTTTCGCTTCAACGTTCGAACGCTTTATAGTCCTCCGGCTGGCGCGTTCCCTGTTGCCAAGTAGAGCGCCGAGTTAGCTGAAGTTGAGGGATAATTTCCTTATTTTTTAAAAGGTCGTGTACAATTTTTTTCTCTTCTTTATTAAGCTTTCCGAATACGTGGTCAAAATTAATGAAGTAATGACGGAATCACCCTGCATAAGTCGTAACTTTAACACCCTGTATTTTAATTAAAAAGTGATATAATGACAGTTCCATTATTTTTTTGCCCAAGTAACCTGTGGATAACGTCTTGACTTAGTAATTTATGCCACCCTGTACACTTTGCAGTTTTATGAAAACTTTTAAACATTAATTTCCGAGTAAATAACAGATAAATTGGAATGTTACTGTAAAACTTAAAGTATTTAGACAACTAACGACAGTATGTTGGTTAATTTAATTTAAAAATAGTATGTTCTAAAATGTAGCCCTAAAACGCTAAACTAAAGTAACCCGACTAACACAACCCCAGTATTGTCTAGTGTCCACCCTCTGTACTTGTACTCTGTACTCACTGTGCACTTTTCTTCCCCACCCCCTTCTCACAATCTCTACCAATTCCACATAACGAAATTGGTCTACACCGCTGAAAGAAATGCCGCCTTTATTGCACTTGGTTGGTGTGGTTTGCAGGTTTCGTGCAGTTCGTGTCCAGTAGCAACGCCATCTGTAGTCACAACGTTGCCCGGTTCAAGAATTATCCGGCAAAGTTCCCAACCGGAGGCATCAGCTCCGTGCTGTGGTTCGAACTGCGTGCACGGGGCGGCACCGTCCACCTCCCTCAGACAGCTAAGGGACCACTCGGATGGCATCGCTGGGATCGCCGCCGATTCCCTTCGTATCAACGGCGCTATGCGGAATTTCCGGCAGGTATGAGGTGACCCGGTACCGCTACTGTCCCCCGGACGAACGGGGTCCAAGGAGGTGTAACTTGTTCATTAACTATTTCCATCAAAAGAATTTGCAAATGTCAACTACGCGTTCATTTAAACCATTCAGGTTTTTTTTCTACACAAAAATTGGGAATTAGAGTAATTCACGTTTTACCACAGTATACACGCCCCGCAACTCTGTTAATAATAATTGTTCTATTTAAAAAAAAACAAAAGACTGTTGTTAATGGCTTGACAAATACTACAATCGAGCACTGATTTTAATTTTTTTTGCCATCATCAGAACCTTAGGCGATTTTCAATTGTTTTTTCTTAAATGTCGTTATTATTTTTTTTGGCCTGTTCGATAGAGTTTTTTTTCTACAGTTAACCATATATTGCAACTTGATATTTGTTAAATATTTTATATGTATGGTGCTTTTAAAAAGCCTAAAAATTCGCAACTCATTTTTAATGGTCCTGTAGAATTAGACGTTTTGCTTAGTATTGAGGAAAATCCACAAGCTTCTACTCGAGAAATTGCAATATTAATATTAATTCTTCAAAAGACAGTACACAAAATCTTTAAAAATCCAAATTTAAATCATACATACCATAGAAAGTGCAAGTGTTAGAAGATAACGATCGTGTCCGAAGGGAGCAATTTTGCCATTTTTATTTAAATATGAGACAAAACGCAGGATTTTAGAGAAAGAATGTATGGTCAGATGAGTGTAAAATGGCATTTTTAACCGAACTATCCATCGATTTTGAGTCAAGAAAATCCCAGAATAACTGTTGAACCCAATTACCAACGGAGATTCAGTGTCAACGTTTGGTGCAGTATTCTAAGTACCTAATCGATTAATTGGACCATTTTTCATCGATGGAACTCTAACTCAAGACAAATACCATAGACTCTTGTCAGAAAATCTTGCAAACTTTTTGGATACCTTACCCCTTGCAGAACTGTATAGGATTTATTTTCAACAAGGTGGTGCTCCCAGAAACGCTAATTGGTTAAATGTTAATTTTGATGAAAGGTGGATTGCCGTGACTGGTCCTGTTCGATGGCCCGCCCGTTCTCCTGACCTCACCCCCGCAGATTTTTGGTTTCGGAGATTTCTTAAAGATCAAGTATTTTTGACACATCCGAAAAATAGAGATATTTTAAGAGAGAGGATTATAAATCTTTGCCGAGAAATACCTCCAAACTTAATATCAAATGCTACGTATGAGATAGCCAGACGATGTCAATTATGTATTCAACAAGATGGAAGACAGTTCCAACAATTTTTATAAGGTTTTTTATTGTTTTGTTGTTGATCTAGTATCTATTTGTTTCGCTTCGTTGTTGTTATTTTAGACATAGCATTTCTCTAATAAATTTTGTAAAAAAATATTTTTTCCATAAAATATTTAACAAATATCAAGTTGTAATATATCGTTGACTGCAGAAAAAAATACTCTATCGAACAGGCCAAAAAAAATAATAACTTGACATCTAAGAAAAAACAATTGAAAATCGCCTAGTGTAAGCGTTCTGATGATGCAAAAGAAATTAAAATCAGTGCTCGATTGTAGTATTTGTCAAGCCATTAACAACAGTCTTTTGTTTTTTTTTTTTAATAGAACAATTATTAACAGAGTTACAGCTTGTAGCGATTTTTATAAGACAGCCTGTATACAAAATAATGGAACAATATTCATATTTTTTTTTCAGTTGAAATTTTAATAAATCGCTGAGATAGTATCGTTGAGTTAGTAAATAGAAATTGTCACTTTTCTGCAATATTTTCTATTTTTTTGAGCCATGTTTCACAGACCTATAACATAGCCATAGTTGTCAAAGAATGGAGGAATTAAATGAAAACAATAATTTAGTACTACTTTTTTTACAGCATTTCATTGCAGCAAATGTTTAAAGTGGCCCCCATTAACTATTGCACACACCCAATTCGGTGTTCAAAGTTATCAGTTACATTTTGAATAACATTTGGTGGTGAAATTTTATCGTCGTGTTTTTTTTTGAGAAAAAACTAACCTGTTCCAGCGATTTTTTTAAATCTGAACTGGAAAGAAACATATGAATTTTGTTCCATCATTTTGGGACACGCTGTATAAGTTGTGGTATGTTTGAAAATATGTATTTGTGACTCTTCTAAAACTGGGTATCTTTCCAAACGCCAAAAATAAAATAGTGAATTGAAGACACCGCTAAATCGCATCAAAAGAATGAATCAAGGTTTGTTTTGTGTTTTATCTAAAAAAAAATAAATGCCGCACATAGTTGTACAGAGTGTTTTTTAAACTACTGTTTTTTCTTTCGCACCAATAAAACAGACAAATTGTTCAAATAACAGCTTTTGAAAATCCCAACGATAACGAAAAAATCATGTGAATATTTTTGGTTGATTACAATAATTTTAATATTTTTTTGTCTAATTTAAGTTAAAAATTGACCAGTATATTTGCAAAATTTATTAGAAACATTTTTTTAATTAAATTACGAAATTTCTCACTTGGTATCAATTTTTAAACAATCATACTTATAGACACGGTGAATTAAATATGATTACTACTGGAGAAATCTCAGAAACTTTTAGAGATACTTAAAAACTTACAAAAGACGTTAAACTGAAAAAAATTCATCTGTTTCAATTTTGTTAAAAGAAAAGTAAAAATCGCTCTTTTTAAAATGCTCATGTAATTATTTGTGTACTTTTCATTGACACAGTTTTGTTTCTCTTTCGAGGGTGTAAAAATTTTTGTAATTGTACTGCAAATAACGTTGCAGCTGTAGATAATAGATAACTATTTTTATACAGATTTTTATCATTTTAATGACCAAATACACGTGAAGGTGTCCTTAATATTTAATAAAATACTATATATTTTGTAATTCGTTAGAAATATTCTATCTTGTATATACTGATTTCAATATCGTATCTGATATATCTTGTATTAATGCTTTAGTGCCTCCATAAATTATTTTTTAATAAATTCCGATCTGTATATTACTAAAATCACTTAAAAAACTCTCTTACAACGCTTTAAGAATATAATCGAGGAAGAAATATTTACTATATAGAGAAATGTAACGAACATAGCCCTGGACGTAGGTAGCTACGATTTTTGCTTAGAGGGCCGATAAAAAAAAAGGAAATTTCAAAACCGAAACCTTGAAATTTGCAGCATGCAGCAACTAAGGCGCCAGTGTACCACAAAATATGACAGATTCGAGGAAAATTAACGGAATTAAACAATTAAGTGTAATATTATGCACTAGGGCATTTAAGTACACATTTTCATCAAAAGACACTAAAATGGATTGAAAGTGATATTTTAGTCACCTAAAGTGTCACTTTTAATCCCTGAGAGTTTCAGTTGTAGCATTTAAAGTAAAGTGTCACTTTTATTGCCCATTTATTGTTTTAATTAAAAGGAAGTCAGATTGAAAGCCCATTTTATTGCATCGTATCTCTTTTAATATCTGAGTCTTCAATTTGTAACACTTTAAGTAAAGTGTCACTTTTAATCTCCGTATAATCAAGTGTAAATGAATTAAAGAGTCACTTTTAATCCCTGAAGATTTAAGTTGCAGCACTTTAAACTAAGTGTCACTTTAAATCTCTGCATAACAAGTCCAACGGTACATTATATACCAAGGGACTTTATTTCATGTTTTAATCAAAAGGAACTAGGATTGAAATCGCTGTTTTAGCCATTAACCTCTTGAATTGAAGTGTCACTTTTAATTTGTTGGTACACTTTAAGTCGAGTGTTACTGTTAATTTTCAAGTATTTAAATTTACTGTCAAGTATATTTGTTTTCTGCTGTACTTTTAAAATATGTAACAAATACATTGTTTTTAAGTGAATTTGAGCAATATTGTGGTGAAGATTTATGAAGATAGAAGGACGAATATTGAAATTGGAACGCAAAGATAACATGTGGGAGAAAAAAGTGAAAGATATGTTTTTTTATTGATTATTATCGAAACGAACGAAATTTGTTGAATTTCAGTTATCTTTTAAAGGATTAAGACAGTGACATAGACATTTTTTGCACAAATAATAAGCTTCAAGGCTTTTCACATTTCTACTACGTACAAAATATTATTTTAGGCCTTTGTTGAACCATTTTTGCCTGTAAATATAAGATAAAAACCACGCACCATGTCAAATGTGACAGTTTGTATTATAAAAACAAACTAAAGAAATGTAAAGTGTCAAATTTGAAAACGAAAAAAAAGTATTCTTCAAACCCTAAACCAAATGTTACAGATGTGTGAGATTTTTGGTTAGACACTGGTTAACCTTTGACTGATTCTTTTGATGCAAGTTTTATTTAATTCATTGATTGCAAAACGCCTAGTTAAACGAAAACAAATCAAATACTTCCGCAAAGTTAAATTTATTTGATTGTTGTAGGTCTAATTTTTTTTACTAGGTTTTGATATCGACCTATCACTATAATTTTTTCCCCGTAACAAAAATTTTGATAAAATATGTTAATTGATACAATTCCCAGATAAATTCAAAACAAGATTATCATTAAATGTATTTTTATGTCAACGTTGTTCGTCTGTCTTTTCTTTTTGTTTATTTGTATTTGTTGTCTGTTTGGTTATTATTTTGTATGTATTAATTTTTACAGGAATAATTACTACAGAATAATTTTTTGGATGCCAATTTCCACAACATAAATCTGTTTGATTTTAAGTTCACATTATTTTACAATATTGATCAATTTAGAAGAATTTTTACCCTAACTATGAGTACATGCGCTTGAAAATAAATCCTAGAAAAACGACTGTAACATCAATAGCAGTTGCTAAAGGTCAGATACCACGGAACTGTTGCATAATTAACTACTACACAGACGTAAAATTTTATAAATAAATGACAGTAAATAGTTAATGAACACACAGTCGTACGCTTTCTTGACCCAGCTGGAATATCTAATCAATAGGTGACACAAAAAACCTCACAGTA